AAAAGGCTCCACGGCAACGACCTTACCAGTGGGAGCTCACAGTTGGACATTGGAACATATCATCACTCAGAAGGAAAAAACAGAAGCAAATCAGTGAGGCCGCAAGATATCAACTCGACATAGTTGGACTCTCGTCAACGAAAAGCCAAGGCTTTGAAATTCTGAACCTCTGCGGATGGAATGTGCTCTACTCAGGTATCGACGTCACGGCACGCGCTGAAGCAGATGTCGGTGTTCTCGTTAAACCCAACCTGGCTGATAAAATCAGACCGGAAGCCTGTCAGCGGAAGAGTGGCAATCCCCTAACCGAAGATACAACAGGCAGAACCATTGTTCTTGTTACAGATCCACGCGCCCAATTTAAAGCAAAAATATGAGTCCTTCCTTGAGAAAATGGAGTGTGCTCTGTGCGAAGTGCCGACTACGGAGTCCCTCATTCCAATGGGCGATTGTAATGCGCAGGTCGGATTAGATGCTGAAAAGGCGTGGTCAGAAAGAACACCTCTTACGACCTCAACAATATCGGCATGAATTCGCTGCATTTTTGTGCAACAATGCACTGCCCATTATGAATACTTTCTTCGAGCATCGAAGCATTGAATACCAGTATACCTGATACAGAGAAGATTGCGCACACACATCGATGATCGATTCGATAATCGCATCATCTGACTTAAGACGCTCAGTAATGCAAGTTCGTGTTAAGAGAAGCGCAGAGCTAGCAACCTACACAACCTTGTTCCTGGAAAGCTACGCTGTAAGAAATGGAGTACCAAACGAAGATTTGGTGGCAGAAGCAACCAAAGAATCAAATGGGAATAAATATCTTCGGTGGAAACGAGACAGAAACTTGCTAACAACATCGCATGTTGGTTCGAACAGGTTCCACTGATGATTACCGAGTGGCAGCACTTTAAAAGCGGCATATTCGAGGCTGCTGCCGAATCCTGCGGATTCACACGGATCAGAAAAGAACGAGAGGTACAAATGGCAGGGAAAAAGAAGCAGGCGGCGTTCAAGAAATGCTTCGGAAGCAACGAATCTTCCACTTGCATGCGACATGTAGAAAATGACAAGGCATCACCGAAAGCAGTGGCCAAGGCTACAGCTGATTTCTGGAAGAAGTTCATTGAGGAGTTGGAGTCGAATTTCTGGATGGAAGGCAAAGTATTCCTGAAAGGCCACCATCCGCCGGCTCCTAGATGAAAGGAAGAACAGTTTATGAGTCCTGAAAGACAGGTCTGGATACCCATTTACCGAGAGTATGAAATTCTTCGGATGGGAAAAGTAATTTGAGGAACTCCTTAACTTCGAGCAACCGCAAGAAGACTCGCCTGCAAAGCAGCAGATAACGCATATTAACATTTCTGTAAGTGAAATCGCAGAGGCTTGAAAAGCTTAAAAGCTAAAAAAAGCTGCTAGAATTGATGAAATCTGCCCTGAAATTCTCAAAGCATTAGGCTTGCACGTGTTTGTCAGACTGCAGCTTCTCCAGCGGAAAGTAAAATTGGGGTTGTTGTATGCC